TGGAGAAATATGGGCATTCCAATCTATAGATCATGCAATAAAAAAAAGGCAGGAGGAAAAATATAAGGAAAAAATGCAAGTATTTCAGGTTTGCTAAAGAGTGCATACAAGTTGGAAACTTTGTAGGTACAAAACTAGTAAGGTGGATGGAATCCAGAGCGTGTAAGATCTCTGGACCTAAAAGAAAAGGTCCTTTCCCCCCTTCATCCTGTCGTCCCTATGAAATCATTCAATTATCTATTTTACAAAATTTTGAAGCAACGCTTAAGTAATGGGCACCAAGGAAAGGCACTCGTGATGCAAATTTCAGAAAAACATGATTTTTACCTTCATGGTGTTCAGTCTCCAATGTGAACGACAGGTAAGTGGCCAATGATTACTGTACGACAATGTGAGAAACGTCATGAGAGTTTGCACAGGGTCACATGGGAGTATGTAAGAAAGACGAACTTAAAGTCAGATTTGTAAGAGAATAACAATAGTTATCTAAAGTAGAAGAGGGGATGTTGGGTATTCAGGAAAAGGCAAACGCATGTTAAAAACACCTGAAGATGTGAGAAAGTAAAAAGTGTTCAGAATAAAAGCTCAATTTTAATCCAAAGCCATAAGAAATGATGAAATTATGATAATGTTCAAAATTATGCTTCAAGAAAATAAATCTGGCAGCTGCACATAGAAAAAAAAATTAGAAATTGGAAGCAACTACAAAATGCTTTCCTCCAGAGCCTAGAAACATGGTAGAGAGGACCCAACTGGCCCAGCTCAAGTGGGAAGATCATGCGACAGGATTTATTCAGTTGCACAAACCACAAACTTCCAGACAAAGGAAATGTCCTGCACCTCATGTTTTATTTTTTAAAATATATATATATTTTTACTGATTTCAGAAAGGAGAGGGAGAGAGAGAGATAGAAATATCAATGAGGAGAGAGAATCATTGATTGGCTGCCTCCTGCACTCCCCACACTGGGGATCAAGCCCACAACCGAGGCATGTGCCCTGACCAGGAATCGAGCCATAACCTCCTGGTTCATAGGTCAACGCTAAACCACTGAGCCACACCAGCTGGCCCACACATCACATTTTAGAATGGATCAACCCAAAATGGAAACTAGGAAGAAAAAGCAGATATGGCAGGAAATCTAGTGGTGGGAACACCTTTAAGCAGTAGCCAGAGAGCAGACCCTGGAGCAGCGGTTCTCAACCTGTGGGTCGCCAACCTGTGGTTGCGACCCCTTTGGGGGTCGAACGACCCTTTCACAGGGGTTGCCTAAGACCATCAGAAAACACATATATAATTACATATTGTTTTTGTGATTAATCACTATGCTTTAATTATTTTCAATTTGTAACAATGAAAATACATCCTGCATATCAGATATTTACATTACGATTCATAACAGTAGCAAAATTACAGTTATGAAGTAGCAACGAAAATAATTTTATGGTTGGGGGTCACCACAACATGAGGAACTGTATTAAAGGGTCGCAGCATTAAGAAGGTTGAGAACCACTGC